GAGTCTTGAAACACTGAGTTTTCAAAGGGTATAATATTTCACTTGTCTGGGATAGCACAGGTTCTTTTCCCTGAACCTTAAAGAGGCTCTCCCTCCCCCCAAAAAAAGAAAATCCACAAAATCATCAAGGTGGGGAGGTGGGGCTGGCCCGTGGCGCACTCAGGAGAGTGCGGCGCTGGGAGCGCAGCGGCACTCCCGCTGCGGGTTTGGATCCTATATAGGGATGGCCGGTGCGCTCACTGGCTGAGCGCAGTGCAGACGACACCTTACTGGTCACAAAAAAAAAAAAAAAAAAAAAAGGTGGGGAGCTGGTGGAGATCCTGTCTTCACTGCACTTTTTGTTCCCTGCCAAGAAGTAGAATTTGGTTGAATATTTGTGAAGACAAACACTTCTTACAGTCAATATCTGAATGTTAGTCATTCAGATATATCTCCTCTCTAAATCAAACTCATAACTGACTATTTTGTGAAGCATGTGAAAGATTCAGAGCTGAACACGTTCCAGCTGTGTTCCATTTGGCTTTCTCAGACTGCTAAGAACATCAGTGACCTCTGAATCAAACCACTTGGCTCTGGCCAGCACTGGGAAGAGGCCACTCTGCAGCCCTCCTGGACTGGAAGCCCTGCTACCTTCCTCCCCCGGACGGGCCCACAGACTCCACCAAGGCAGAACCGCAGTGGCACCAAGACTAGGACTGCAGGAGACTGTGCTGCTTCCTTTACACTTCCCTTCCCCTTATCCATTTCTGTCTACCATTTTGGCTTTTTATTTTAGAAAAGACAACTGCGGCTTTCTTCTCATCCTGTCAAGGATTGAGTGCAGAAAAAAAGCGAGTTGGTGACACACTGGACCTGAGCTCTCTGAGGTCAGAAACTATGTAAGTGGGCAATTAAGTGCTTATCTCTGAGTAAGTGAATAGCAGTTGTCATAGGCAGCCTCTCTGAACTGAGTTCTCACCTCTTACCCTGACCTTCCAAACAGACGTCTATAAAACACCCCTATTGCTAAATCCTGAGTTTTCAAGAAAGCATTTAGCAATTATGCCTACTCTATGATGACCACTATGGAAAAATGCTAAATGTATGCACGAAGACTAGAAAGATAAAAATTTTTAAAGTATGAGATGTGGTAAGTAATTCAAGAGTAATTTTTATTTTTCTCTTTTGTTGATGTTGGGTTGTTTTGACAAAAGAAGATTATTATAAGAATAAGTTATTACCAACATTCCATTTACATATTTTGCTGAGATTGGAACCTCTCAAAGCATGAGCTCATTTCTGTCCCATGTCTATGTCTTCCCTCTGGATTCATATACCACAGAGAAGATGGAGAGAAACAAATAAATGGAAACGCAACAAAAGGTATCATGCAATTCTCTTTTTTTCAGCTGGATTCCCCAATACAGCAATCTCTAAGGTTTACCAAAATTGGGCCAGAAAGCTCTACAAGCTTCTATGCATATTGCTTGACCTTTACTTTTTTCCCCTGAAAAGAAGCAAAATAGCCAAATGTATAAACACAGAACAGCTGTCTTCTGGCAAAGGCAGTATCCCACTGCACAGAGCCACACCCTGACACAGACA